TCTATAATTCCAACTTTTATCTATTAGTTCGCCCGATGCATGATACAAATAAGGATACTTTGTTTGGGTGGAAGTGTAGACCATTGATCGTGAAGACGTTGTGAGACTGATCATTCATCAGTACCCGCTTTCTTCCTGTTTTTACTGCTGAGATGAAATACATTTTCTTATCAAGCCATGTTTCCCCAATACTTATACCAAAATTACCCATACTTACACCAAAAGTATAAACTAACATAAACACTATACCTTTATGATGATACGAATGTTACGTATCATATTTAAAGAACCATGGTTCAATTACAGTCCTTTCTGTGTTGAACAATTGCTCTGGTTGACAGTCATATCCGTACAAATCACAGTCCGGTTTGAACATTTTACTAAGCTTATCTAAATCTTCACTGTCTAACGTCGAGTAGGCCTCTTTAAAAGCTTCTGCTTTGTTTTTTCTTGCTTTGGACCGTTTCTCCGCATTCCCCATCGCATTATACACAATACTCATTAGTTTGTTCTTTGTGAGACCCTCACTCTCTTCGGTAGTGAGGGGAAATTTCGATTCTTTTGTGAGAACACCACGGATTTGAAACTGTTTCCAGAGTCTTTTTTGAGCTTCATAGAACGTTACATTACAATCATTAGCATAGTTATCACGGAAACTAAATAACCAATTAAACTGGTCTAATATTGTGTCGTTCAAATATTGCTCTCGGAAATCCTTGTTTAGTGATCGCATCAAATCTGTTCTACCTATGCGATCCAGAATATAGAAAATATCCTGAGAAAGGGTGTCCAAAGTACCGATCACTTGCCATTTGTACCGACAAGGATCACAATGCTCATAAGAAGGGGTAAAATGCCCATCTCTGTTCTGGTTGACTTCATCTGCGTATAAGACTGTTTTTACAAACTCTTTAAATGTTAAGTTATGTCCACATTCAGTTGATTCATTCCGCGTAACGTGTATTCCAAAGCCGCCATATATTTTCCAGAAGAACAGATTTGGTGAAAAAAGCTTATCTACATAGGCTGATAACAGTCGACCGTACGGTTCACGGACAAACATAAATGTTAGAGATTCCTTCATGAATCTATCGACCATGCCTTCCGGAATACTAGTCAGGTCATTGAAATTAGCCAGTGCAATTACTGTGCTGTCAAAAGGCGATTTAGCGTGTGCTTCACCAACCACAAGCTGAAAGATGAAGAAATAGGTGGGTTAGTATCAGTATAAAGTATTGGATGGATTTAATGAAAAACTACGGTAACTCCTTATTTTCATGTACTCTTTTCACAAGAATAAAAGTTTAACTTTTTGCATTTTCAAATCACTATATGTTTCAGCAAACCATTCATTCTATTTGTATTGAATCAGCCATAATATCATTCTAATCTTACAAACATAAATATATTTTCGTTGATCTTAACTCCAATTTTGAAACAAATAAGCAATACGATACATTATAGCTGTTTTACATATTCATTATATTTCAGAATTAAAATGTCATAGACGAACATAGTAACAACTTTGCATCACACTACAACTACAAGATACATAGTCCGTTTCGATAGCGACATAAACACAAACACTCGGTAATAATCGCCGGACAAGTTCTTTATTCCTTCTAAATGGTAGCCACACTTAAAAGTTTTCATACCATGGTTCAGACACTGACAGCATCCTTATTGCAAATGTGATTTTAAATACTTTAAAAGAAACCAGCGGCTCGGCAATTAAAACCAAACATTCAATTCCTCAATAATTTTGATTTACTTAATGTTAGCCCTGAAATTAATAACTAAATATAATGGTTTATTCTTATGAAAATAATAAATATTGTATTGTATTCTCATTGGTGAGTATTCGTCCAATTAATATGGCAAGGCTTTGATAACATTTTATTTCATGAAAAATAATAATCCTTTACCCGCAAAACACGTTTCCAGAATGTCGACGCAATTTTTTCTACTGGGCAATAGGCTATTGCCAACACTTGATCAATTATTATATTGTTTTTCACATATTTTGCTGATTTCTTTCCCTTCATTTCAGCCTCACGACCAACACATGCTTTCAACATTCGGTTTCTTCTTTCTTGATAAATCGCTTCCATGTCAGAGGTTACAAATGAAAGGTTCTTCTTCTACAATCGTAAAACAAAACAAAAAGGTGAATGTATACAACAGCGTCAACAATATGACAGACTGTATCACAGCGTCAACACAGAGGCACACAAAGCTGAAGGTCAATAACAACGGACAACAGAGAGAATCAAGTGGACGAATTACCTGACGGTAAGACATAATCAACGTCCAATTGTGTCAGGTGTGAGACAGTGTCTCACATTAAATGTAAGCCAGTCTCTCGGTTAGGAGCTATCCGAGAAGCTGATCATGTGTTTAAACGAAATCAAACATTTTGGATTAAGGTCGTCATATTTTTGTCATACGTTAATATTGAAGCAGCTGGTGTGCGTAAGAACAATGAATCGTTGGGGATGATTCTATATATAATAAATAGGTTAATCATGTCATCGTCGCGGAACGTAACTTTTCCTGACTTTCATATTATCAAATCATTGGTATAAAATACACATTTAGATTTATTTATCCACCTTTTAGAAACAAGATGTCCCTGACCACATAGCCCAATCTAATGTTAGATATATGACATGTAGCGATTTGAAATGGATTTTAAACTATGCCATGAAGAACTGCAAGAACTCACGTGTTCGTACAGTACCAGCCAGTTTATAGTAAGGCTGCAGTCTAGTGTACACGTAAATAAACCATAAAACCATAATAAATTACTCTCCTGTGCAATTCAATATCACAACCGATACATGTATGAAAAATAAACATTATCTAGTTACAGCGGACGCAAATTGTGGAGGCGATAGCTCCTCACGACTATGAACTGTATATTGGCCAACATTCACGAGGGTTATAATTCGCATAATTTTGCAAACGCATTAAAACTCGTGAAAGTTCCAATATCGTAAATATATTTCAGATCCCGGCAATAAAACTTTACCTGTGTAAGGTAAAGCTCATTTTTAGACAGTGAATGGGATCTGGTAACGACGCTGATTTGAGAATTTAACACTAACATTTTCATCTTAAATCGCTGCTCAAGATTTACACTACAACAGATGGGCACAAACTAATGAGTATCTTAAAGATCACAAGAATCGTATGCAAATTCAACACATCAGCTAACGACATACAATGGAATTCAATTGAAAACAAATTTATCTCACCTGATACATTTATCACTTATCAATTAGCATATAAATGTAACTGTGACATCTACATATGTACTACCGATGTCGGTTTTTCATTCATAGTAGCGAATAACACTCGTATCGAGGTGTTACAGAAAATGGGATTCGCAAATAGGTTCGAAAACAAATGAGCAGACTTTAGCATCCTAGCAAAATTAAATAGCATAAAGGGCTAAGGAATACAAATTCCATCCTACCGGTAGTACTTCTTGCGTAATTGTCATTTGTACATAATATGTACTTCCAACCCTCATACCTGTAGGCATGTTTGAATGTAACGGCTTTGACACAGTTTTGTATTATAATTTACTTAATTTTAGGACTACATTAATAACAGTCTAAAAAAGGTATAATAGAATATCTTTTACACAATAATAGAATTCGCTGACTTCTTAAATTTAAACTTATCCTAGGTCACAATCATATCCAAATTGTCACAACTGCTCTTTTCTATAGTAAAAAGTAATGTTATCAATTGCAAACTGCTTTGGAGAAGGTAATATTTGGACGCCATTGCTTGAAATGGATGATACAAAATTGAATTTGTGATGGAGGGATCGATCGGGATTAGCAGTGGACCAATAGAAATATCAAAATATTTAAAGAATATATGCTTAATGCATATATTTCTATATATAGTAGTCTTTCCATAACGGCTATCGAACTAATGTTCATTTAAAAGTCCTTCTTTTGCCCCATTTCCCAACTCCTACTCGTGGTCAAATAGAATGAGTGCAGTCACGTAAGGCAAACATTCCTTATATTAAAACGTTTATACAGAAAACGCTTACCATAATGGAGCGACTGGTTGGTGGGACCGTTTGGAAATAATAGTACACAAATCAGAACTGCTTATCAAAACATTGACGTATGAATGTCGTAGACATATAACAAGCATAAACAGATGGAAGTAATGCATAGATATAAAAGTATCCTTTGTAATATCATTACATATTTTAAAATTCAATTGACAGGGATGTCATGATGGCAGGCTTGGGTTTCGTATTTAAAATGATAATATCAAAGTGTCCAAAAACATCAAACTTAAAATCGATAAAACCAGTGCTAAATGTGAACAAATGAAAGATTTTCACCGATACCATTGCAAAAAAATATCTGTAGAATACGACTAGTTCCCGAGAGAGTAAGTGTCTTCTGCTTCATCAACGGCACCCGACATGTAAATATAAGTAAAAAAACAAGTAATGAAACGTCCTCACATCGGAAGATCAGGTGGTGTCAACATAACCACAAGGCTCGACCTTTATCACAAAAGTGGTGATGTTCGGAGAATTCTCTTAAATACCAATTCAACTGCGACATGTAAACATCGTCCGTTGGAGATACAGGGATTTTATTATCAAAAAAGAGAAAGTTAATTATCGGAATTCGAAATCGTCCCGTTTATCGTACAGATTAATATTAAGCCGTTCCAGTTAGTCATGTTGCACGTTAAGATCGAGGTAAGAAGCAGAAAAAGACAAGTCTGTAGTGTTCTTGGTTTAAAGTTTTTAACTTTAAACCCTAACAGATTTCAGCCATTACCTTCCGAAGTCCTGTATGTATTTGTTATGAAGGAAATTAAAGTTGCAAAACTCCTGCGTCTTTTGATTAACGAAATCTGCCATACTACTAAAAACAATTTCTTACATAGAATCTCAAAAAGCATGAAAAGTCATTATTTTTTTGTGAAGGTAACACTTGCTTTTGTGTTTTGTAAATATTACATACCACGTTTGCATCATATTTGTATCGCCGACCGTCGTCTCGATCATTGATACATTCTGTAATACAAATATAAAGTTACAAGTTACACAACATATACCGATTGACTTTAACGAAATGGCAACGTAAAGGAACACTGTGGATACATAGTTAACAGGTAATACCTAAGATGTACACATGCCTACTGACCAAGAAACATTTCTGACCTTATCTTGTATAATAAGCCTGCATCAAAACCAGTGTATACATTGGCTTACTGGGCATATTTACCATGAATCGCTAACACTACTACGATTCATGACATATGTCCAGAACCAATGTTGTTATGACCTCCTTCACTAAAAATATTGTTTAAAACATTTTGAAGTAGAATCGCTCAGTCATTGTTTGTTATAAAGTTAACTTGAATATTGTTCCCGATATGCGACGGTTTTAGTGAACTCATGCAAATACATATATGGTGTATTGGAAGAAATTAGAAAATCACAAAAACTCATGTATTACATGTAAAATGATTGAATATCTCATATTGCATTTTGTATCTTGTTTTTGTGTTAACATAACATGGTCCCTACTCTTTCAATAGTATCGTCAAACTTTGCTCCTATCCGTTACCTTTACATTGAGTATGTATGTATGTTTGTTTGTATGAATGAATGTATGTATGTATGTATGTATGTATGTATGTACGTATGTATGTATGTATGTGTGTGTGTGTGTGTGTGTGTGTGTGTGTGGTGGTGTGTGTGTGTGTGTGTGTGGTGTCAACCGGGGACAATGGTATGAATACACACCTTCCAACAGGGGACATTGGTCAACCGGGGACGCCCCCGGTTGCCGATTCCATTGAAAAACGTTTCTGCATGCTTTACTACATCTAATTATATTAGGAGAACGCTCAATAAGGTAGTCCACGGTTGGTCGGTCTTCTACACACTCGTATATACACCATCTTCCCCATCTTCAAAGGTCATACACACCGTCCCCGGTTCCGTTCCGTACTACGGCTCAAATCCTAAGCGTCTTTTTAACCCCGACTGAAGATACTTTTCTGAATTTTTTGTGTCTACAATGAATCGCCAACAACTTTTCATACAAATTATCGCCCAACAACAATGCAAAATGCTTTTGTTTATAATGATGTCGCAAATGTAACATTAGATCACAGAAACATTTTTGGTCTGAATGACAAACGTGATCGGGGATTCTTGGCACGCGCCGTCATTTTGTTTGGTATGAGAGACGGGGCCTGGGACTGAGGGAGGCAGCAAGAGATCTAGGTGAGTAACTGTTAGGCACCAAAATGGATAATTAAGTCCATTTAGAGATTGTTGGTATGCCTGTATTCTGCTTTTACAGATGATACAGGTAATATTAATTGATTCATGTAAAACATATAATGTAGGTGGTAGCCTAGAGATGGGTCAAAGGAGTCGGTGCACACTTTTAGTAAGTCGACCTAGGTAAACCAGGCTTGAACATGCACCGGTTATTTTTTTCACATGAGAAGTTGTTGTTAATAAACAGTGAACTTCAAAGAATGTCTTTGATCATTTTGTTACGCTAACTCGATATAGGCCTACAGTAATCTTGGGTTACGATTACTCCTATAACATAAGAGGTCGCTGGTCGGCCTTTTTTCTATCGGATATGATTTTGCCGACTGCGACTACTTCTACTTCTACTAACCGCAAAATCAGGGCAAATGTTGTCTGCTTCACTTCAAAAGACGAAAACTCATTATTTATGCCTTTGACACGATTTGTATGTTACTTTTTTAAAATCCGAACTTTGAAAATTTGATCGTCAGCATCGGGAAAATCAGCTATGAGCGATACGTATCTCGCCGTGTAAACCTCTGACATTGTTGGAGTTGGGTTACGATGTACATACTCTTCACTTTAAATGGCAGATATGCTTCATCGATCGATGCATGAGCAATAAACACGTTCCTAAAGTGGAAATAATGGATTCCATTGGCATTGGTGTTAGTGCTGCAGATAAGGTATTTCAGAGGGAAATTGCCGTTTGGAAGTGTGAATGGAAGTTTGAAAGTAAGCATTACTCCATTCGAATTTACAACTGGGGTGGTGGGTACTCATTGGAAATTATTGTAGTTAGCTAACATAACATAGCCTTTTTTAATTCGCCCTCATTTTGTCATCAAAGGAAAAGTGTCACTTCGAATAACAGAGGCAGATAAGAGCATTTAAAATAAACTGATTTCACTTTTAATAGCCAAATAATGTTAATAAATCTTCAAACTTTATACTTATCTATGTGCTATATTCCTGTATACATCACATATATTTAAGAATATTGAATACAACTGGCAGATATGTATATGCTTTTGACATGTAGGTGGCAATAGCCACTCCATTTAAAAATGTACGTAGAGTATTCGTATAGGTAAACTGGGAAATAGGTTGAGGCACTCACAGGCCAAATAGGTTGAAGTCGGAATCAACCCTCATTCCTTTTTAAGAACATTGGAATTCACTGCTTACATTTTGATAGTTATCACCCAGTAAAAGTTTGTGTGTTTGCATACACTATCTGTGAATATTTTACTGAAAATTCAGCAGCTTTGAGATGTCATCTGCTATATGGGTAAAATTGATTTCAGCCTTGCCAGAAACTTTATTCAGAGACGAAATAGGCCACAGAGTCGTACACCTATGCCTATATGTTTTCTGGAAAAATGTGTTGTGTCCACAATAAAATGCTTTTAATATGAAATAGCACCCAAAGGTGGTGGCGCATACTTTTGAAAATGTCTGCGGTTTCTTTTTTTCACAAGCATCATTCCAACAGGAATTGTTAACTGGAGTGTTATAGATTCCTGGTTTGCAAATAAGCTAATGTTTACTTTATTATAGAATAGGCCGAGATGTTGCAATGAGTATAACATTAACATTCAATCTAATTAAAATCAGATCTCTCATTACTGTTTTCAATGGGGCTCCATCAGATCTCTTATATTTAATATCTATACAGCGTAGTGTTAAGAGAGATCTGTTTTGATTAGTTTGTATAACATTTTGTCAATATCCAGAAATGGTACGTGTGTTTTGATTGGTCAATACAAAAACCAAATAATATTGCAATAAAACATTACATTCAAAATGAGATGACATGTGCATAGTAATTATATATATAACTGGATTACAACAATAACAACGGTAAACCGTTTGAATGGCATGAGCAAAGCAAACCTTTGCACCCATCTTGCTCTTTGTTGACCATCTTGAAAATCTTGTTATCGCTATTGTGAAATTATCCATTTTTGTAAGCACATGACATATCAGGCCTGGGATTGTTCATGAAATAGCCTAATTTCAGGATTTTAAGTCTTTGGATTACTGCCATTTTACATGTGAATGCAGATCTTACTAAACAATTATTGTCATCCTATACTGTTGTCAACACTTTAATTTAAATCAACTTAAATGAATATCTCTGCTCTGGGGATATAGAAACTAATGAATAATTCATTTACATTTGACTGGAACTTAGAAAATGTTTTAGGATTTTAAGTAAGTCAATAATCCCAGACCTGTATACATATCCAATTGTTATCATTTCAGTTCCATGCTTATTTACAGAGTATACATATGTTGCCTATTAAAGTTATTAAAATCGTTTCTAGGACTATACAAATAACGGCTTCTCATTGGTTGTTCGCATGACTCCACCAATGTCAATAATCAACATATAACACATTAACCAATTGGAGTTATATAGATGTTGGGTTGTAAATTGTACATTGGAAGATTTGCTTAACTTTATATTAAATATCTAGACAGTGGACACAAAGTCATTGATATATTTAACAGAGAGATGCTAGTTTTCAGGAAAATTTCTGATTTCAGGATGTGTTTGTTCCTTTCAGGATCCCCCCCCCTATAAAATGCATTGACATTTTCAGGATTTTGCGTTCTTGAGCACTAGCACCTCTGTATACATTTATAACAGAAAACATAATCATGAAATAATGTTCTATCTTACTTACAAAAGCAAGAAACATGCCTGCAGGTACAAGAAGCAGGTTGAGCAACAAATGCAGGAAGGAAGAAAAGAATGATGGTATTTTTTACTTGCATGATTATTCTAATTAGCCATAGCTTCAATGTTTTGCCTACATGATGCACCAGCGGTGCAGATTCAGTTTTGTTCACATGAGGTGGCCCTGGGCTCCAAAATGGGGACTACAAACAAGGGTCTGTCAAAGTTCAACACAGGTCAAAATGCATTAAGTTTTGAGCATGTTATCATATGTACCTGTATCGAACCATAAGAGCTAGAGCTTCAATATTTTGCATGTACATGCCCTAGTGATGTAGATTCAAGTTTGTGGAAATGAAGTCCCTGGGTTCATAAATCGGGCCATATTCAGGTGGCAAAGTTCAATATATCAAAAAGGATATAAAGCTTTAGTGTAGATTCCTATTGGTAACATTCAAATGCAATCCCCTGGGTCATAGATTGGGTCACCGCTCTTATATAAGGCCACATAGACCTGAGTTATGTATTTTTCTTTTTTTAGCACTTTTAACTCTGATGAGAGGTATCGATACAGTTCCCTAGGGCCTCTTGGTCGAAGAAACAAAACATTTTATTCTGCTTAATGTTTTTCTAGCTACTTAAATTAAGTGTTTATTATGTTCAAATAGCTGTAACTTCATTTTCTTTCTTTTACATGTACCATGTTTACAGAAGAGAAAAGATTTGAGATTCAGCGCATTGATGGAAAAGGTGAGGATCTTTCTTTCCGGTAGTTTATTTATCATGTAATTGCCAAGATGAAAAGTAATAACATAAGCCACCACTAGAAAACTTAGGAGTAGCAGGGCTGTAACAAATATTTACTGAATATAGAGTATTGCCCTATTGATATATATATAGAGCATATACATGTAACACTTGATAAGTGAAATTGTAATATCAGTTATATTCCACCAAATTACTATAAATTCTTGCATAAAACCATGAGGTTTTAGAAAGTGGTTTTATTCAAGAATTAATCAACAAGATAGAGTATAAACACTGATATGTCACAGCAAGCTAAATAGACTTTGAATTCTCGTTAAAGGCGAATTACTATTAGCTCAAATCACAAATCAACAGAAAAACTACATGGGTATTGTAAAACTTGGCATTTGACTGCTGCATTACGATGAGTATTGTTACATGTGCAAATCGAAATATACTAGTATACTGTTTTTTTTGTGGCATCCCTAGAAAATTACCATGACTATCCTTGCATGTCAAGATTACAGAACACATCTATATATTACACAACTGAGTCTTTACCTATATAATGATCATTACGCTAGAGAATCGATAATAATTATATAAATCTTGATTTGATGCATAAATATAAGTCTTCAGGCTGAGGAGTAGTAGCAAGTATGCTGATAGAAAAAGGGGAGCGGCTATTTCCGTACCGTGGGGAGGTGGTCACCTAGGAAGAAGGAGAACGAATGGAGTATCAAGAATCCAGTGGCTACAGATTCTTTTATAAGGATCATGGAAAGTCACTCTGGTATGTATCATAAAATGAAAATGTCAAATATTCAGGCATACTGTATACAGCTTTCACGCCATGTTTTTACAAATGAAGCTACCTGGGCACAGTTTTAATACACAGACATGCACCAACACGCATGCCGGTGACTGACCTGAGCTCTGCTCAGCTCTGGGCGGCTGCTGTAATTATAACAGGTGGTGGGGGTCTTTTGTTTACATATTCGGGCCAGGGTCCAAGTGTCTTGAGTTTTCCAGGATATTTTTAGGTATTACTGCTCGAATCCGGGGTAAAGTTAACCCCGATTCGGGAGATGTACCATACCAGGGTTTAGGGGAATTTTTTATTGATATTCAGGGGCTGCGCTACCCCGCATAATCTGGGGTGATTGACACCTATGGTGGTCCCGTTTATTGACAGATTTTGTTTTCCTTTCGCAATCTTTGTTTAACATATGTACCAAGAGTAATACATATTAAATATTAAATGAATCAAATTGGACCAACAGTTCATCAAACTATTTTTTAGATGCCCCCTAATGTGACCCCTTGTGGGCAGCAAAAGGAGTCAGCCCCTTTTCTTTTGCAAATTTGAATTTGCCATCACCTAGGGGTGCTACCTACCAAATTTGATTTTTTGAGAAGAAATAGTGGCAATAGCTCACCAAGCTTTGCTGAGAGCTTAATCCCGTTTATCAT